ATACCCGTGGTGGGCAGAGCACAGATAGCCCTTGTGTAGCTTTGTGCATAATTATAAACAAACAAACATTTGCTGATGGAGAAAATATGTGCTAGTGATTGTTATAAGAGGATGCATTTGTCTGATAAATACATAAATTAATGGTTGTAATATCGTTATTTAATTTATAACAAATATCTTAAAAAGAGACCTATATAATAAATATATATATATAGAACGAGAGAAAGAGAAACAGTCATACTTAGATAAACATATAAAAATATCTATTGTAGTTCATTTTAGAAACAAAATTAGTTTTAAGTGTCCAAAGCAACGCGAAATCTCAGATATTGATTTGTATCCCCCATTGAAACCATTTATCTGAACATCAGTTTCATCTTACATCGTCCGCTGCTCCTGTATTGAATAGGCTATGTTATATACATTAATGAAGGTCCAAATTTTATCTTCAAACCGCTTGAACTGTACTAATGAGAAATGCTAATGAATACCTTACTTCATTAAAACCTTCGATAAAAACTTTAAAAGGTTCATGAAACATAGACAATACTTAATACATTTTCAGTAAAATGGTGTAACGCTTGGGAACTTTGACTCTGTGCTTTGGCTTGTGACCAAAAACGTCACAGTGCAATGCACCACTAAAGTAACACCAATTATGAAACATCAAGGGCTCCAGAATTACTATTTCAAACAACTAATAACTACCTTGTTGAAATATTTGAAAATGGTATTAAAATGTCGATAGAAACCTATATTCATTTCTCAAGTTTGTAAATAAATAAACTTCATGTTGAATATGTTTCGACATAAATTAGTTTCTCATTAAAAACAGTAATTCATAACATTCTAATTGAGAGAATTAGAAGTAGTTCAATGTAACACCACAAAATGGCACATTTTATGTATTGTATATCATTTTTAATCAAGTCAATGAACCTCAAATAACTGCATAACATATCACTATATATATACAGTATATTGATTTATATTCCAATGTAAAGAGTGTAATCTAACTTATGATAAACAGTGTGACTTACGTAATCTAGATAATACATTGTGATAATATGGATAGGAGAATGGAATTAAATATACAATGGTAGTGTAAGTAATGTAGATAGCTTGCTGTAAATACTAATTATAATACAGTGTAATGTAAGCAACGTATACATCTTATTGCATGTACAAAAACAACACATTGCAGGTAGTACAGTCAATATAACATGTAACGTATATGTCCATTTATACGTGTAAATTTGTTTGTTTTTTCGGATATTCGCGCAAAGCTACTAAAGCGACTACTAGTCGCCCCAAATTTTGAGTCGATAGACCAGAGGGAGAGCAGCTGGTCAATATCACCAACCGAAAACTAAATCTTGGGCAGCTCTTTTGCGACCAAATAGTGGGGTTTGACTGTCACCCTTATAACATACTCATATTCCTAAATAATGGAGAGTAATTATTATTAGTATTATTTTTCAATTTTTTTTGTGGTAACGGGACACAAACTAGGGAACCCATATATTCATAGTCCGGGAAGCTAACCATATAAAATTAAACGTATATGGCTCATTTTATGTATAAAAATAGCTTATTGTAACTAATTCAAGTAATATAAAACGAAACGCTATATATCGTATTTTATGTAGGCCAGGTATGGCCGAGTGGCCAGAGTACCGTACAGTAGATCCGAAAGATTAGGGTTCGTGTCCTGTTGCCGCCAAAGAAATCGCGCTTTGCACTTTGAGGCCATGGGTGCGATATAAGGTTCATGGTCAAAACCCAATATTCTAATAGAGTAGCAACAAACAAACCTATTGTGTGCATAAAGACAGTGCGTTGCAAGTAATGCAAGTAAGTAAAACGTTTGTAACTTATACATTATATTGTGTTTATAAAGATAATAGATTGTAAGTAATGCAAACAATGTAGCGTGTAATGTAAATAGCGATAGTCCGATTTCAGTATTGTAGATAACGAATGTAATGGAGTTGACGTGAACATGTATCGCATTGCAAGCGATGTAAAGACATTTCAATGAAGATGATATAAACAGAGGAACTCCTGTATAGTAGATTGGACAATATAAGTATAGAAGACATTATGTTGTAAATGATATAGCATACACTCATGTTTTATTAAAACAGCGACTTAGAAATACTTTACATTTTTTGTACTTCTTAAATTCGTGATTTTTTTTTATATTTCACTTCATTCCTGTAATTAATAGCAAAAATAAATACAATGAATTAATGTTGTTGTTTGTTATTATGCACAAAGCTACACAAATGGCTATCTGTGCTTTTCCCACAACTGGTATCGAAACCCGATTTCCAGCAGGATAAGTCTGCATCATTCCGTTGTGCCACTGGGGGGACATGAATTAATGAGGTTACATGGACGGAGTTATGGCGAAATATGGATAAAGCGCACCTAAGCCAACGCAAAATGAATACATGTTTATGAAAATATTTGCTCTTTTTCATCCTATTGTTAAAAATCACGTTATTCGATATTTATTTAAACTATTGCTCCTTTTTATCTTTTTGTTGAAAGTCGCGTTCTTCAATTTTGATTTAAACTATTGCCCCTTTTTATCTTATTGTTGAAAGTCACGTTATTCGATATTTATATAAACTGTTGTCCCTTTCATCCTATTGTTGAAAGTCACGTTATTCGATATTTATTTAAACTATTACCCCTTTTTATCTTATTGTTGAAAGTCACGTTCTTTGATATTTATTTAAACTGTTGTCCCTTTCATCCTATTGTTAAAGTCACGTTATTCGATGTTTATTAAACTGTTGTCTCTATCATCCTATTGTTAAAAGTC